TCACTTAGTATATTTATGATTTACAATACGTAAATTGGAGCATATATTGAAAATGTGGAAGTAGCACATATCCATCATCAAATTTCTATTCTGAGATGGGCAGTTGTCTGATCAAATTGTTAATTCTTCTATCTGTGGATCCAAATTTGAAACTCCTAACCATTTTAAAACTGCAGATGCAACTTCGTTCCCACTTAGTCCAGCCACCGTCTCATCCCACATCATACAAAGTGTTTTATTCACTGTTGAGTCATGAATGGTAAGATTGAAGGTCCACAGCTTGAGGGAATAAAAGCTCTGGGAATTTTTCAATAAAGGAATTGCCAAACATTTTTCCAGATCAATCATGATCACTCTTGTTTTTGGAATTTTTCGCACTTTCTTTGTCAGCAGCCGTCATCGTGTATCTGAATTGCGCGTCCTCGATATGTTTATCGTAATCAGTTTGCGAAACTTGTCGGCGATTGAGATCTGTGTGATCTTTTAATTTTATAGTAAAAGAATCGCACTTATCGCGGGTATCATTTGAGGGCATCTTAAAAGACAAATTAAATTCTGTGTTAAATATATCGCGATAAAGCCACAGCTTGCCAATATGTTCAGACAAAGTATTTGATACAAGTGCTTCGTCATAATAGAGCTGATACATTCTGGTTATATTCAAGTCACATTGTAAATATTTTCGGGTTGATTTCTTTCTACTTTAGTGCGATTCATAGAATGGGAATTTATTTATGTAGTCTCGCCTTATTTCATCTGGTATTTTATTTTGTGGTATGTGACCTTTTCTTAAATCAGCTTTAATACTACCTCCCAGTAAAGTCTTACGCAGAGCGTGATCCACGAAATTTTGTGATATATCTAAAGTATTCAAAAAGAATCTTTTGCATACCCTTTTCTTTGAACCGTTGCTGGTTAAGGAATAAATGTAAGTGACACGTCTTTTTCCTTCTCTTGTTCCGTTTTGGCTTCTGTGCTGTTGCAAATACAGGAAGCCACAAATTGTATTTTCCTATCGTAATCGACATTCATTTTATTCAAATTCAAAAACCAATATAACTTACAAATTAAAAAAACAACCTTCAGTACAATTTAAAGAAAAAAAAGCTTCAAAAATACATGAGCTTGTATACTCTTGCTACCCTGAATAACCAAGATTGCAACAGAAATCTGAGCAAAGATACTAGCATCAGATCTAGAACCAGCAAGTAACGGTATACAGGGTTATCCAAATTAAGTGTCCACCATTGGTAACTTTGTTATTAGTAAAAATACAAAGTTGTTTAAATTAGCAAACTAGTAGCATTTTTAACGCTGGTAAAAATGAGAAATAAAAAAAAACAATTGAGAGTCGTTATTTTGAGTTTTTTCAGTAAAATAACATTTTTTTTAATTGTAAACCCCTGTATATTATATTTTTTTCTGTTAAAGCATCAAATTTTAAACAAAAAAGTTCATAATGACTTTTCCGCTAAAGTCAAAAATAAAGTCAAAATAACGATAAATATTTTTAATTATTTGCAGTATTATAATATTAAGACGGCTATGAAAACAACATGGCGTTCGCGATTTGACAGCATTAAGATAAGCGACAAATTGTTAAACTGGACATACTCGCAACTAGAAGGCTTTGGAAAACAATGATAAAATCAAATAATGTCAAACATTAGTGTAAATACTTGTTTATAAGCTTTATTGTGTCATTAATTTAAAGAAAAATGTTCTCCCATGAAGAAAAGTGTGATATGTTAGAACGCTATTTAGTGTGCAGAAAATCCTCCTTGAGAGCAAGAGAATACTACAGTGAATTATATCCCGCTCGCATTCAACCGTATGAACGATATTTTCTGAGACTTTATCGAAAATTTAGGGGCAACGAAAATGTTTTTGCTAAAACAAGGGCAAAAAAAGAATTCATAATAAGCGAGGCCACGGAAATTGCAGTTATTGGATATTTTGAAGCTTATCGTGAGATTCCAATAGCAGATATTCTCAAGGACTCTAATTTCAGTTATGGTACTGTTCAAAGGATTTTAAAAAAATACAAATTTATTCCGTATAAGTACCGACCAGTTCAAACGCTTTTGGCAGGGGATCCAGAGAGAAGACTTGTTTTTTGCCATTGGTATCTTAGCTTCTGTCGCCAAAATGTAAATAACTTTCGTTACCTTTTATGGACAGATGAATCAAATTTTTCAAATTCTGGAATGTTTAATAGAAAAAACAACCATTATTGGTCAAGAGAAAATCTTTTGTTAGTACATCCAAGAGGCCCACAAGTCCGTTTCAGTTTCAACGTTTGGTGCGGTATAATTGGTTCAAAAATTGTTGGCCCGTTCTTTTATGAGGGAACCCTAACTGGTGAAAGATATGTGGAATTTATGTCAGAAATTCTGACTAATTTCTTAGACGAATTGGATCTTATAAGTAGACATCATCTGCATTTTCAGCAAGATGGCGCACCTGCCCACAACTCCAGAGGTACTTATCATTTTCTAAGTACTACTTTTAATGATCAGTGGATAGGAACAAATGGCCCAATACAGTGGCCTCCCAGATCACCAGATCTAAACCCACTTGATTACTTCTTGTGGGGTTACTTAAAGAACCAAATTTACAAGCGAAGGTACGATAACCTTGACGCGTTAAAGACTGCAGTTAGGGAAAAGATAACCCAGATAGATGGTAGGACCATACTTAAGACAGTTCGAGCAGTTGAAAAACGTGCCCAAAAATGTATTGAAGAACAAGGTGGTGTTTTCGAGCATCTTCTTTAAAAAAAAATTGTTATTGTATTTTGTAAGATTATAAGTTGATGTTGAAAATAAAGTTTGTCGATACAATTTAATTGTTTCAGATTGGACGCCATAACTTCAACAATTTGTAACCTAGGAGAAAAGTTATTGTAAGCTTTTTTGTTTAAAATTTGATGCCTTAACAGAAAAAAATATAATATACAGGGGTTTCCATTTAAAAAAATGTTATTTTACTGAAAAAAATCAAAATAACGACTCTCAATTGTTTTTTTTATTTCTCATTTTTACCAGCGTTAAAAATGCTACTAGTTTGCTAATTCAAACAACTTTGTATTTTCACTAATAACAAAGTTACTAATGGTGGACACTTAATTTGGATAACCCTGTATGAATTACGAAAAATCTGTATACTTTCGTAAAGGGTAAATGTCTGAATCTTTTCGTCACAAATCCTCTGCATAAACAAATCTAAAATTCATAACAATAGTACAGAAGTATACTAAAAACATTCAGAAGTATAAATATAGAGTACATAAAATATGAATATCTGAAATATGATAATATAGGGATATTTCGAGTAAGGTCAAACTATGTTGTTTAAACAGTAAAAATTTTGCGTAAAGGTTAAGCAGAAAAACAAGAGTACTACAATTTACTACAAAAGAATAGACATATAAGCTATAAGCTTGTGTGTGTCATACAATATACAAATTCAATGCATGGCTAATGGTTATAAGGTATATTATGAGCAAATGTATATAGAAAAAAAAAAAATAAATAAAAAAAAACATTAGATAGAAACGAAATTACTGAGTTGAGTCAAGCTACCGTCGCGTCGATGCAAGCATGTCAAAGTTATTTAAGATGAACTTCTTAATTCTTTTTTTGAAACTATAGTTCGAGAGGGTTTTATATTCTAGGGGTAATTTATTATACAACCTAATACCATCAAACTTTATGCATTTTTGGCAAACAGATTTATTCACTCTGGTATAGGTGTAACTTATATTTATTTTAGTTCTTGTTTCATAAGCGTGGATGGTTGGAACATTGTTTCGGGAGTGAACAAATTTTAGAGCAGCAAAAATATATAAACCTCTAACATTCAAAAGACCATTTTCAATGTAAACAAATCTGCAACTTGACCTACATGGGATACGAAAAATAGTCCTGACAATATAATTTTGCGTGGTTTGTAGTATTTTTAAAGTACTAGTGTATGCGGCTCCCCAAATACTTATCCCGTAAGTTAGTAGAGACCCCACAAACGAGTTATATATTGAGAGAAGACTCTTTCTGCTTAAAAAATTCCTAAGAATGAAAAACTTATGAATAATTCTCCTTAATTTCGATGCCAAAAGCTCGGCATGACTCTGCCATTTTAAATTACTGTCAATAGTCATTCCTAAGTATCTAATAACTTCAACTCTTTCGACAGTGTCAGCACTATCATTTATAATTAATGTTCGGTGGTGTAATGGCATGCCTGCTTTGGTTGGAGAAAACGTTACATACTTAGTTTTAGAGATATTAAGTTTAAGTAAATTGTTATCCAACCAGCATTTGACTTTATTTAATGACAACTCGGCATTCCGTATTGCGTCATCCCATGAATGACCAGTGCAAACTGAAACAGTATCGTCTGCATATGATATCATTTTACAGTTGAAATTACATCGAAGTAGTTCATTTATGTATATGAGGAACAGTGTTGGTCCCAAAACCGTCCCCTGAGGCACACCTATTTTGATCTTTTGAATGTTGCTCATTCCAAAAAGGCTGTAGAATATTCTGTCGTTCTCCATTTGAGAAAATCTCATGACATTTCAACTCACAGGTTTCCTTACAACTAGCTTTCAAGTTTCGAGCACGGATTTTAGTTTTTCTGCTTGACCAGCACTCCGATCCCTTTTCCAGGTGACTTGACTCTTCATTATTTAATAGCACAATGGTTCAAGGTCGGTTAAACTCGCAGTGATATTGAGACCTAACTTTTTATGATTCCAAAAGCTCAGTTATCCTTTTTGTTAGGACTTAAACCAAATTATGATTGCAAAAAGGAGATATGACTATGGCGCTTGAGCCAAAATCTCAATTTATAAAAAAATGGACTTAACTCCTCTTCGCTCTAAGGTACAGATATACGACTGACAATGTTTTGACAAAAATGTCTCAAAACTGATGGTTGAACAGTTGAAAACCGACTACTGTTCTATAAAAATAAAGAAATCTCATTCTTTACAGGAGCTGGACAGCTTTTGAACAACAATGCCATAAGGTTTTACGAATTTTGCGAGTTTCTAAGGTAAGTGTAACTTTGTTTTTGAGTGCTTGATAGAGCTTTTCCAAGTACATTACGCAAAACTTAATCTATTTTACGAGTATCTGTATACGATACGTTTGGAAAATCATTCAGGCTTGTCTATGTTTTCAAAAAATGTGCTCAAGAGGCACTATAATTTCTTCAAAAAATGAACCCGAGAGTATTTTTTTCAGTAATTTCTATCACTTTGAACCTTCTCCAATATTATTATTTTATTACCTATTCTTCCACAAAAAAAATGACAAAGACAATTTTATGGTGGTGTCACCAATAATCACTCACCAAACATGATGTGTTAATATCAAGTAGAAGAAAGGAAATATTTTGAAACAAGTAACGCAACTTTTCCATAGAAAACATCTTACAGATTGTAACCTTTTATCTTTTCAACACGCCTTATTGCCGTGGGAATCAGATCAGAAATAGAGCACTGACTTTTTATCTTGAAATACAGAAACTGTATATCATAAATGATGTCTGGAGTTACAATCTTCAGTCGCTGTTTTAATGCATCTAATCTCGGTATATCTGATAATACCGAGAATCATTTTATAGGTGCTAATTAGCTTAATAACTACATATATATATATATATATATATATATATATATATATATATATAGGTGAAAAATTAAAGCTTCCGCCTTTTGTTGGGTACTTCGACAAAATTTAAGCAAAGAGGACTCTTTATACTTTTTTTAATTCTCTCTAGCTTTCAATGGACTTTGCCATCATCATAAGGAGCTGCAATTACAATGATAACAGTAGCAACAAAAGTGTAAAATGAATTTAAATTGAATCAAGTTACAGTAGTAAGTGAGGATGTTGCTAATTGTTGTTTTCGTATAGGATGAGGGAAACGTCCAGTAACATGGTGAGAGCTGGATACATGGTACAATGGTTAAAATTATATAAAATATGACAAGACAAGTTAAAGACAGATTAAACATTATTTAGAAAACATTAGAGCATTACGTCGTGAAGCCACATGATGATTGCACAAAATGGTGGTCATGGAATAATGAGTGAGATGAACCTTTGACAGAAGGCCGAAGGTTGTCAATGTCTGTGTTGAAAGATGGAACGAATTGTGAGCGTGTGCCAAAACGTTGCCAAATCACTTCAGATGATGTGATTTTCAGAATGTTATGTAAGAAATTGTTAAACCGACCAGAGGCAGTTGAATAAACTATATTTTAATTAATGGGAATTTTAAATTAAAAATTATTAATAAATCGTGAGAAGAGAATTATTAGATTTTGAGTGGAATGAAATTTGTTGGTGGAATCGGCCAAAACATAGATTATATTTATGGTTGTGAAAAGTCGAAATTTGGGGAGATATGTAAGTTTTCCAATTTTTCGCAGTTTAGCAAATATGAGTAAATGACACTCAGTTGTTTAATATCTGTCTTTTTGTTGATACAGTTGTTATTCATGAAAATGTGGGACATTTCCAGGAATAAACGTTTGGAAAGGTGTTTTTCTTTATCAAGAACTTTGATACTTGTGTAATTCATAGAATGCCCTGTTGTCTTAACATGAGATGCTAGAGCGCATCTTTCAGGATGAAGCCTAGCATCACTTTTGTGTGATGTAATCCTTCCTTTAAGAGATCTGGAGGTCTGACCTATGTATATTTAGTTGCAGTTGTTGCAATTGATGGAGTAGACTGTGTTAGTTAAGTCAAGCAGCGGGACTTTGTCTTTCATTTTTGAAAAATTGCGGTTTATAGTGAGGACGGATTTGCAAGCAATTCGAAAGTTCAAAAGGACTGCACAATCTGATCAGCTTAGGGGTCAGTTCCTTGATATAGGGCAGGTCTACAAAAAGACAGATATTAAACAACTGAGTGTCATTTACTCACATTTGCTAAACTGCGAAAAATTGGAAAACTTACATATCTCCCCAAATTTCGACTTTTCACAACCATAAATATAATCTGTGTTTTGGCCGATTCCACCAACAAATTTCATTCCACTCAAAATCTAATAATTCTCTTCTCACGATTTATTAATAATTTTTAATTTAAAATTCCCATTAATTAAAATATAGTTTATTCAACTGCCTCTGGTCGGTTTAACAATTTCTTACATAACATTCTGAAAATCACATCATCTGAAGTGATTTGGCAACGTTTTGGCACACGCCCACAATTCGTTCCATCTTTCAACACAGACATTGACAACCTTCGGCCTTCTGTCAAAGGTTCATCTCACTCATTATTCCATGACCACCATTTTGTGCAATCATCAAGTGGTTTCACGACGTAATGCTCTAATGTTTTCTAAATAATTTTTAATCTGTCTTTAACTTGTCTTGTCATATTTTAGATAATTTTAACCATTGTACCATGTATCCAGCTCTCACCATGTTACTGGACGTTTCCCTCATCCTATACGAAAACAACAATTAGCAACATCCTCACATACTACTGTAAGTTGATTCCATTTAAATTCATTTTACACTTTTGTTGCTACTGTTATCATTGTAATTGCAGCTCCTGATGATGATGGCAAGGTCCATTGAAAGCTAGAGAGAATTAAAAAAAGCATAAAGAGTCCTCTTTGCTTAAATTTTGTCGAAGTACCCAACAAAAGGCGGAAGCTTTAATTTTTCACCTAACTGGTCTAGACGACAATGACCATGTCTCAAGTTATATATATATACATGTATATTATGAATTTCATGGTAAGGTATTATCGCTACCGTTATATATTTGGAGCATAATATTCACACTATTGTTCAAATATAGTGAAAAAATCTTTATTGGGTCATTGCGTTAGTGCTAATCATGAATAACATTGATGAGTCAGATGATGCCGAAGAAAGAGCCACATTTGATGTTTCTTTCCAGGCCAATTTCAGAAAGTCTACAAACTTTGTTTTTTGAAATTCTAATGGTTTGTGAGCGGAGCAAAAAGTCTTTTTCGAAGGATGTCAGACTTCACTTTTCGGTGTTTTTCATCTTCTTATCACTTTGGGTCGAGTTAACGTTTATGGTAAAAAGTTTCGAAAACCGCATGATGTGTTCGATTAAAATTTATAAATCGATAAAAAAACTCCCCCACAAATCACATTCCAAACGAATGATAAAGAAATACAATAGCAAAGCATCCGATATAGCGCAGCTATAAAATTGTCATACCTTATCAAAATAATAGTTTTTTATGCGATAGTAAATCGTGCTTATGATAAATGCCCGAGATTTACTCAGTTTCCTAATACTCAAATATATGCGCATACCAAGTGTGCGATGTCCATACATATTTATTTTTATTATTTTGGGGAACTACTGCTATGTTTAAATAAAGTGGAGCACGTTTGAAACTGAGATTATAAATGGACTATTACATATGTAACGGGTTTTTCCAATTGTAACGCTTATGTTTATGAAGAAATATGGAGACACATTCAGCATACATCTAGATTGAAATTATGAAGGTGAAGATACATTTAGTGGGAAGTATATTACTCAAGGTTTATTTTTTGGTATATAATATAAGCCCAAAAACTCTTCAGAGGGCTGTAGGAAGAGATTTCAACTGAAATTTGACCACCTACAAAATGTTTTTTTCATTTACTTAATACGAGTATGGCCATTTTCAGGGGTGCTCAGACTCTAAGTCGTTTATAGCTCAAAAACGGTCGGCTTTGGATAAGGTCCTGAAAGATAATCAGATAGATGAACTTTTCAGGTTTTACGGGCAACTTTTGTTTTCATCACACTTCTCGCGAATGATTTTTTCAACTTTAGGGTCAGATTGAAGGACATTTTTTTAATAGAAGCTGAAGCAGATTGTTAGTTAATCGAAAATGTCGGATGAGTGATAAAAATAAAAACGAACTTTTATGCCAATGGTTTTGTTTCTTGTTAGTTGTTACACCCGTTTCAATATTTTGTCTTAAAGAAAAAACTTGCTATATACTAGGTGACATATAAATCCGAACACCCAGTTTAAATCGTTTTATTTTAATAAACTTTTGTATAAGTACTTAATGAAGCATAATAAGTAAATGATAAAAATTTCAAAATGATTGCACTGCTTTAAAGCCCTTTGACCTTTAATAATGTGAGGATGCACCCTGATGTGCTACGCATTCTCCAACGCGCCTAGGCATGCTTCCGATCAGGTGCTCAATGTCCTCCTGTGGTATCTCATTCCAGGCAACCACCAACTCCTCTCGAAGTGCTTCTAGAGTCTGAGGAGGACGTTGCAAATTGAGCAATCTCCTACCCATCATATCCCACACGTGCTCAATTGGGGATAAGTCGGGAGATCTTGGTGGCCATGGTAACAATGTGACATCATTATGTTGAAAGAAGTCTATTGTGACTCTTGCAACATGTGGTCGGGCATTATCTTGTTGGAAAGTTGGATCTGCCAGGGTGTCAAGATAGGGTAAAAGATGGGGTTCTAGAACTTCGTGGATATAACGTTGCATGTTTATGTTACCTCTGATGAAGATTAAAGGTGACCTGGAACCATAAGCTATAGCACCCCAAACCATAACTCCAACAGTGTGATGAACATGTCGTTCAACAAAAAACTGTGGATTCCTCCTTTCACCACGTCGCCTTCTAACCCTGGCACGACCATCGTGCATGCCTAAACAAAATCGAGACTCGTCACTAAAGACAATACTGTTCCATTCCTGATCCCAGAGTGACCGTTGTCTGCACCACTCAAGGCGATTACGTCGGTGTTCTCGAGTTAAAGGGAGGACCCAGTATGGCCGGTATGAAAACAAGCCGAAACTTCTCAGTCGTCGGTAAACACTTCGCATGCCAGTAGGTCTTCCGTGTTCTGCAAACCATTCATTTGCAATGGACCTGGTAGTGGAGAAACGGTCCCTTAAGGCTAATAATCTTAGGCGGCGATCTTCACGGTCTGTTGTTCTACGGCGGCGTCCAGAGCCCCTTGCTCTTTGCGTACGGCCTTCTCGAAGCCATGCCTGACAACACCTAACCACAGTGTCTACA